TTTTCAGCCCCCCAAGTGCTGGGATTATAGGCACGTGCCACTATGCCCAGGCTTAGTAGCAGTCTCTGTGCACCCCGGGCCCATGTGTTAAGTCTGAGTAAATGGATATAATTCTTTCACACAGAAATAAGAAGAAGGTGTTTAAATGGGTAGGAGAATAAAGGAGGAGGAAGGGGAAAGAAAAGAAGGAAAAACAGGAAGCTTTTATAAATGGGGAGAGGAGGTGGGAATGAAGAGAAGGTAGGGGAATAGAATAAAAGAAACGAGTTATATTATGTACAGGTACAAATTCTTTATGATGAATGTGTTCATTATGTATTTCTAAAATGTACCAATAAAATCTAATTGGAAAAAGAAAGAAGATATTTCACACAATAAAGGTGGTCATGGGCAATCTATAAAAGTAATGTTACTCTCCGCCTCATCGCTGTAGGTCGCCATCATGGACTCGAGTCATGTGCAGCCAATCAAGCTGGCTAGGGTCACCAAAGTGCTGGGCAGGACCGGCTCGCAGGGACAGTGCACACAGGTGCGCGTGGAATTCGTGGACCACACGAGCCGCTCCATCGTCCGCAACGTGAAGGGGCCCGCGCACGAGGGCGACGTACTCTCCTTGTCTGAGTCAGAGCCGGACGCCCGGAGGTTGCGCTGAGCGCAACTGGTGGGTCCTGTACATCGACCACCTGGGCCACGGGATGAACTGCAGCTCTTGAAATAAAGCATTTGTATTGTGTGAAGGGAAAAAAAAGTAATTTTGCTTAGAACATAGGTTAGGATGGCCAAGATGTAACAATGACACTAATCTATTTCTTTTGTTTTTATTTTGGTGGTACCAGGGATCGAGCTCAGCACCTTGTGCTTGCCAGGCAAGCACTTATTCCACTGAGCTACCTCCCCAGCCCCCATGACAGTAATCTGAAAGACACCTTTTCTTTTTTTGTTTTTGTGGAACCGGGGATTGAACTCAGGCCCTTGCGCTTGCCAGGCAAGCACTTGTTTTACTGAGCTATCTCCCCCGCCCTTTTTGTTGTTTTGAGACAGGATCTTCAGACTGGCCCTGAGCTCACTAAGTAGCCTAAGGCTGGCCTCTAATTCATGGTGATCCTCCTGCTTCAACCACCTAAGTGCTGAGGTCACAGGCATGCACCTGGCAAAAAGCACCTCTTTTTTTTTTTTTTTTTTTTTGCGGAACCAGGTATTGAACGCAGGCCCTTACGCTTGCCAGGCAGGCGCTTAAGCCACTGGGCTATCTCCCAAGCTCCCTATTATTTATTTATTTACTTATTTATTTATTTTCTTAAGTACTAAGACTTTTTCTTAGAAGTAGATTCCTAGGAAGGAGTTAGATTCCTGGGCTAAAGAATATACATATAGTTAAAAGACATTTCCAAGGAGATTAAAAAGACACCTATGTCTAATATAAAAACCCGCTGGGCATGGGGGCGCACACCTATAATCCCAGCACTCAGGTTGAGCCAGGAGGATCTCTGCTAGTTCAAGACCAGCCTGGGAGCTACAAAAGTGAGCACAAGGCCAACCCAAACTGCAGAGGGAGACCCTCTCTCTGAACAGAAAACAAAACACCAAAAAACAGGGGCTGGGGAGATGGTTCAGGGGAATAAGCACTTCCCTGGCAAACACAAGGCCTGAATTCAATCCCCAGTTCCACCAAAAACAAACAAACAAACAAACAAACAAACAACCAAAAAACCCAATCCCACTAGTACTAAGATTTCAAACCACTTCAAACATTTCTTTTTGAGTTGGCAACTCAAAACTTTCACTTGTTATGATTTATCTTGTACTATATTTTGGATGATAATGGCAAATTGAAAAATCAACGCAAAATGGTGGTGTGATGTTGTCCAATATACCACTTGACAGAAGCCTCACAAAGATGGTAACTTGCTTTTTTGCTAGTTTTGGGCTTTCTTGAGACAGGATCTCACCATGTAGTTTAGGTTGGCCTTGAACTCACAGTGATTCTCCTGCCTCAGCTTCTTAAGTGCTGGGGTTTTAGGTGTGTGCCTCCACACCCAGCCGTTGGTTTGTGTCGCTGCTATAACCCTGTTGCCTGGCACAAATGAAGTACTGACAGTGGATAAACAAAATCCAAGGAGAACGAATTTATCATTTGATACATATGAAACTTTAGACTAAGAAAATCTTTAGGATTAAAGGATATAACTGGCTAGTATTGAGCCAGCAAGGTGCTACAAACTCCAGCTACTTGAGAGCTGAGGTACAAGGATTGAAAGTCCAATCGGAGCAATGTAATGAAATCCTATCTCAAAAATAAAGCAAAAGAGGGTGTGACTAAGCAGGAGAGCACTTGGCTAGCATGAATACATTCAATTTCCTAGGGAGGAAAAAAGAGGGACTGGCTTATATCTGTAATCTGGCTAGAGCTGCGGCAGGAGTTCCAACATAGCCTGGGTCACTGATTCATTCATTCATTCACTTGTACTGGGAATCAAACTCACAACCTCATGCTTGACAAGCAGATGCTGTGTCCCTGGCCCCAGCCTGGGCAACTTAGTGAGATTGTCTGTCAAAATAAATAGATACATATTAATACATAGGAACTTTTTTTGGTTTTAATATCTTGAGATGTCTTGCTATGTAGTTCAGGCTGCCCTTGTATTCACTAATAGCCCAGTCTGCGCTCAAATTCACATCACTTCTCCTGCCTCAGCCTCTTGAGTGTAGAGGGGTATGCTATCACACCTGGTAGGAACTTTGTTTTGGCTGTTATTCTTTTTTGAAAGAGGATTTTACTTTTGATACTTTAACAGTTAATTAGAGGGGAGTCTTTTTTTTTCCATAATAAAACAATTTTATTGAAAATAGGAATTACTTTTCCATCCTGGTATTCACAAAGTCTGAAAAATACATTTGTAGGACAGACTCAGCTGGTAATTAAAGCAGTTTCACCAGTTTGAGGCAAAACTGGAAGAAAATGTCCAGATTTAATTCAGTCAGTGGTATTTTGTTTGTAGAACTGGGGATTGAACTCAAGCTTTCACAGAGTGCTACATCAAGGGGAGTCTTTTTTAACTTGATCTTTTCCTCTACATTTGTTAAAATTTCCTTGGCTTTTTCAGTTATCTTGTTCCAACGCTCTGCTCACATTTTCAGTAAATTTTTTGTTTAGCTCAGCTTGACAGTGGATTCAATCTTTTTTTTTTTTTTCAAAATCCATCTATTTTTTTTTTAATTTTATTTATTTATGTGTGTGTGTGGCCAGCTCAGCCCACCAGGGGGAGGGGCTGGCTGGCATGTGGTGCTGGGAGATTGAACCGCGGTCCCTGTGCTTTGCCAAGCTTGTTCTAAGTAGGTGCTTTAGACCACTGAGCCATCTCACCAGCCCCTGCATTCAATCTTTTATGACAACTTCATTTTGAGCCTCTGGGTTTTCATTACTCTCCATTATTTCATGAGGAACTGTCCATATAATCTGTCCCTTCAGAAATCTCTATTCCACAGAGATTTAGAAGGTACAGTGACCTGCTCAGGGGGGCCAGAGGAGTCTTGCAGGCATCATTCACCACTGCTTAAGGCCTGTTAGGTCCTTTTCAGTATGAGGCGTCTGGCTGAAGAAATCTGGAGGACGAGAAGTTGTCGTTGCTGGTACCCACGCTGGACTTCTTTGGTGTCAATTCTGAAGCAACAGTTGCTATTCAGGGACAAGCTGAGACCACCAACCAAACTAATGTGGCTGGTTGGAAAGTTCAAAAAAAAATTTTTTTTAAACACTAGGAAGGGGCCGGGGAGATAGCTCAGTAGAATAAAGGCCTGCTTGGCAAGTGCTGGGTCCTGAGTTCAATGCCTAGTACCGTAAAAAATAAATAAATAAATAAATAGATAAAGCGCTAGGAATATAGCTCAGTACAATGGGCCTGGGTTCAATTCCAAAATTCCAAGGAAGGGAGGGAAGAAGTAAGGGAGGGAAAGGGAAAGAAAGGATGGGGAAAAAAGACAAAACAAAAATTATACTTGTCAATATGAATTTTTATTAACACACATTTGTCAAAGTCTGTACAAACCAAAACATTCCTGTTTTAAAATGTCCATTATAAACATATAAAGAAACAAGAAGTGTTACCAAAAGTTAGCTACTCAATTTTATGGTAAACAGTGTCATGATTTTTAAAAACCAAATTTTAAGACTGAGGGTTCTTCTTTCCCTTTTAGGAACTCACGGAAAGTTAGAAAACGCGTGGGTCTGCTTTATAGTAAATGCCAAGACTTTAAAAAAAGATTTAGTATAAAACTAAATGTGTTTTTTATATTGTCATACTTCATGAAACAGAATTTCTCAGTCTTTTAAAATTTTTAAAAAACCATGACTATCATTTTTTCACAATCTTTTCCCAATGCAAATGTATCTGAAAAATATTATCTGACAGTTTTACCTAAAAGTTTCTCATTCAAAAAGTTACAGGGCCTGGGATATAGCTCAGCGGCACAAGTGTCTGCCTGGCAAGCGCAAGGTCCTGAGTTCGATTCCCGGTACCAAAAAAAAAAAAAAAAAAGAAGAAGAAGAAAAGTTACAGAACAGTGGGCATGGTGGCACACACCTGTAATCTCAGCACTTGGGAGGCTGAGGCAGGAGGATTCCTGCAAACTGGAGGCCAGCCTAAGCTACCAGTGAGTTCAAGGCTGGCCAGAACTACAAAGCAAGACCCTGTCTCAAAAAAAAAAAAAAAAAAAAAAAAGTTACAAACTATTTAGCACTGTAGTTTCCCTTGCTTAGAAGGAAAAATAATATCCCCTACTAGGGTGATATATAAACATGGTCCATTGTATCTCTCAGCAGAAGGAAGCCATCCACTTCTACATCCTTTATGTGCATTGCTCCACTTAATGCGAATGATATCCTAAGTTACAGAACCTTTGATTTTTCACAAGTTACATTTACTGCTACAGTTTTGGTAGACTGAGGTACAGCATCATCTGCCCTCATGATCACCTTCAACTCTAGTGCCCCCCATCCCTACTTTACTTCAGAAACATCACATTAAGGACCTGAGAACATGGCTACCAATGCAAATGTATTTCCTTTCCTGGAGAAGTAAATCTGCATGCCTGTTGGGCTGAGAAGAGAGAACAGAGCAACTCAGGCTGAAGCCATACTGCCTCTGAGGAACACCTGTTTTCTACACATTCCCACTGAAAGTAGGAAGTGCACAGGCTGGGGTGGGTGGAGAGGAGTGGGAAGAAGGTACAGCAACATCACTTCTCCCAGTAAGACCGACAGCCATACTGCACCAGCCTGTACTGACTCCAGAAATGCTCTGTACTTCATAAAATCCATTTTGTTTGTTCTTTCAGTACCGAGGATGGAACCCTCAGAGCTTTGCACTGAGCTATGCCCCCAACCCAAAGACCCCATTTTGAATCTGCTTGTGTAAAAAGTTTTCTGACGACAGCTCAGTATGACAACTGATAAGCAAGTAAAGGGTGTTAAAAAAGCAAAAAGAAGTGGCAGTGTAAGGATTTAAAATCAATCATGTAAAATAAGGAAAAGGGTTGGGGAGAGAAGTGTCCAGTACAACCTGGACAACCTTTCTTTCTGTCCTTATTTAAAAGGACAGACTTCAAATTTTTGCAACCTCCCTTAAGTATCTCCTTAAATGCTCTTCTAAGAAACCCTCCAAAAGGCACTTAACTCCATACTTACACAATGAATTCACCTTAGTAATCAGTTTTGAAGACTCTAAGGTAAGAAACAAAAGATCTGATTTTTTTACTAAAAGCTAGAGAACAGGACTGTTTTTTCCCCCCAAGAGGCATCATTTTTGCAAGAACTATCTAGGCTAACATTGTTCCTTTATCAAGAAAAAGTTTCTTTTTTAAAAAATAAATAAAACTCTGGCTATACATAGTACAAAGTTCATACATAATATACCTGGAAAAAACCCCAAGATTATACCCTGAAGCAAAAGGTTAATTGGAGAGAGAAAGCCTCTCCCGATGTACAAGTCTTAAGGTGGCAGTTTTCTAAAGTTCAGCGGTGGCAGTGATAGATACTTAATGCCAAACTATTTGCTCAAGGGTATGGCAGGATGCAACGATGGCCAGAAAAAAAATCATTCTGCACATAACACTGAGCAGTGACCACCACACAAAAAAAAACAAAGAATAGTACCAAAACAGAGACAAAAAGAGGAAGAGGAGGATGGAGGGAAGAAGAAAGAGAAAGGGACAGAGAAGAGGGAGGAGGACGAGTTGAAGGAGCAAGCCTGCAACCCAAACACTCAGGCATGCAGTCATAATAGCACAGACCAGGTGGATCCATTCAGCCCACTGCAATCACACAAAGAAGGGCAACTGTAATAAAATGGAGATTTCTTAAGAAAGCTTGCAGTTCCCACAGAACAGCCAGGTCCACATCCCTGCCCCCAGGTGACTGCATCTGCTGTTGCTGGGGAGCAGCCTGAGGTCCATCACGGGGAGGTTATAGCTCCTGACTTCTCAGACTTCTTGCTCTTGGACAAGGCAGCTGCCTGCTTCAGGAGCTCTCGGTTTTTGGCCTTTAAAAAAACAAAAGTTTAATGATGGTAATAATAAATAATAGCAAAAATCTTTCACGCAGATGTGAAAGCAGACAACATAGAGGTTCAAAAAGTGATGAACAACAGCAATTCCTGAACGGCAGGGAGCTCTAGAGCTTCACACTTAGAGAAACAAGTATTTGCTAGAGGATAATAGGGGTGTTTCTCTCTTTAAGAGTCTACTGTTTGTTTTTGAATTAGTTAACTTAGATAGGGTCTCGATTTGTAGTTCAGACTGGTCTTCAACCCAGTACGTAGCCTGGGCTGGCCTCAAATTCATGGTGATCCTCCTGCCTCAGGTCCCATGTGCTAAGATTACCGGTGTGTGCTACCATGCACGGCAGACCCACTGTTTTAAAAAGAAGCTTTTTACACACCTATAATATTCAACAACGGAACTTAAAAAAATTGGGATATAACTATGAATGCCCATTTTGTATCTGTGTATTCAAAGTGGTTGGGATAGATATATAGTTGCATTCTCTTAATGAATAGAATGATTTGTTCTAATGGTGTTTGTA